TTAGAATTTACGTTTATTCAGGAGTGATTCTGTTGAGAGGCTTCAAAACCATCTTTTATTTCTATGGGATAAGATTAATGTGTCTTCGGCGTTCCTGAAACGAAGCTGAATTAGGCAATCTTTTCATAGCGGAGCATTTTGCCGGTTTTTATATTGAAATTCTTCGTAACACTAAACACTTGTACTAATCTCAGTCGCCCCTCTTCCTTCCACACACTAAAGATATCTCTTCAAACCTCGAAACATCTCGATTATCCGCCACCATTCCACAGTCGTCCTTTACTCCTGTTTTTTACACTCGCAGGCCTTCAAGCAGCCGTTGCAGGATCCTTGTAAGCCCCCATGAAGAGGATGCTGCGCGTGCCGTTGTCCCTGATGAGGAAGAGGAACGGGCGGTTGCAGTGGAAACGGATCGGCTGGATGAAGGACCTGACGGGCGCGATGAGCGCGGTCACCGCAGCGGCCTCCGTTCCCTCCTCGTTCACCTCGACGAAGGCCTTGTGGATGACCGTCTCCACGGCTACCTCGCGCAGAGGCCCGAGCGTAGTAAAGTTGGCTTTGTCGAAGGAAAAGATGTCAATGATTCCGGTATTCATGAGAGCCTGCGGAAGGGACGGTGTTTTTAGGCATACCCTCACTTGAATAAGTTGATGTTTCATGAACTTAACAGATAAAGTGAAAGGAATATCGGTTAAATACCTATCAGTTTATGAGAAGTTTCTGAGCTTCTCGTATCTATCTTGAGCACAGTGTAGTGATAGCATAAAGTCGCCACGTCTAAAAATGTCTCACCAAATTATGAACATACAACACACGCAAATCAGAATGCCTACTGGAATAAGACCCTTCACTTTCACGTCCAGCTTGAACTTGGGCAGCTGCAACTCTACCAGTCGACTGTTGAGTAACTCCCCGTTGGTAGCTGCCCTCACGTTGTTTCCGCCGAGTCGAGAGACCATTTTGGCGAAGCCGCCGGGCCCATCCTCAGAGGGAAGGAAAATGAACATGGACATTGCTTTGCCCTTGTAAGGCAGCTCCAGGACCCTCGCCGCGATCTGGCTGCTGAAGTCGCCTGCGTGTGGAAATGGAGACATGAAGGAGAACGCGATAAGAAAAAGAAAATCAAGGCATGTTCGACAGATAAAAGGAAAAGTATAAACAAAGAGAATAAAAGAGAGGGATGAGAAGGCTTACGGCCAGGAAAGTTTAGACAGATATTAATTGATCTCATAGCATGAGGCCACTGGCAAAATAATTATTTTAGCCTTCTCATTATACTACATAAAGTATAATGAGTAAGGCTAATTATATGCGCACTTATTCTAGTACTAGAACACAGTCTTCAGTTTCGCTATAATACTGTCAAAATTCTTTAGATTACAAACTGGTCATCTAAATTCTCGATTTTTTAAAGTAGAATCCTTTTACTATATGTAGTATAATGAGAAGGCTAAAATAATTATTTTGCCAGTGGCCTCATGCTATGAGATCAATTAATATATTGTAAGAAATTATTAATACAAGACATACTAATACATGCATTTCGATATCCCAGATCACAAGAGAAATAAACACTTTTCATAAAAATATTTCGGTAACATGAAAAGGCTTCTCCTTTTTGCTTTGTCGCAGCTCCTATCTATTTCCAGCATTCTTAATTCGTCAAAACTTTCCTGGCCGTAAGCCTTCTCATCCTCTGATCTTTATTCTCTTTGTTTATACTTTTCCTTTTATCTGTCGAACATGCCTTGATTTTCTTTTTCTTATCGCGTTCTCCTTCATGTCTCCATTTCCACACGCAGGCGACTTCAGCAGCCAGATCGCGGCGAGGGTCCTGGAGCTGCCTTACAAGGGCAAAGCAATGTCCATGTTCATTTTCCTTCCCTCTGAGGATGGGCCCGGCGGCTTCGCCAAAATGGTCTCTCGACTCGGCGGAAACAACGTGAGGGCAGCTACCAACGGGGAGTTACTCAACAGTCGACTGGTAGAGTTGCAGCTGCCCAAGTTCAAGCTGGACGTGAAAGTGAAGGGTCTTATTCCAGTAGGTATTCTGATTTGTTCATATTCGCCATTTGGTGAGACATTTTTAGACGTGGCGACTTTATGCTATCACTACACTGTGCTCAAGATAGATACGAGAAGCTCAGAAACTTCTCATAAACTGATAGGTATTTAACCGATATTCCTTTCAATTTATCTGTTAAGTTCATGAAACATCGACTTGTTCAAGTGAGGGTATGTCTAAAAACGCCGTCCCTTCCGCAGGCTCTCATGAATACCGGAATCATTGACATCTTTTCCTTCGACAAAGCCAACTTTACTACGCTCGGGCCTCTGCGCGAGGTAGCCGTGGAGACGGTCATCCACAAGGCCTTCGTCGAGGTGAACGAGGAGGGAACGGAGGCCGCTGCGGTGACCGCGCTCATCGCGCCCGTCAGGTCCTTCATCCAGCCGATCCGTTTCCACTGCAACCGCCCGTTCCTCTTCCTCATCAGGGACAACGACACGCGCAGCATCCTCTTCATGGGGCTTACAAGGATCCTGCAACGGCTGCTTGAAGGCCTGCGAGTGTAAAAAACAGGAGTAAAGGACGACTGTGGAATGGTGGCGGATAATCGAGATGTTTCGAGGTTTGAAGAGATATCTTTAGTGTGTGGAAGGAAGAGGGCGACTGAGATTAGTACAAGTGTTTAGTGTTACGAAGAATTTAAATATAAAAACCGGCAAAATGCTCCGCTATGGAAAGATTGCCTAATTCAGCTTCGTTTCAGGAACGCCGAAGACACATTAATCTTATCCCATAGAAATAAAAGATGGTTTTGAAGCCTCTCAACAGAATCACTCCTGAATAAACGTAAATTCTATTGGCACTTTTATTTTCTCCCGAGTACCTTCGGTTTCTTATTTTCCAGGATTCTTTTCTCGATCTGCAAAACAAGAGACTCCATTAAGCAACATACGCCTCATGTCCTTATGTTGCTTTTCCTAAGTTCAACCTTTTTCTTGTCCCCTTTACGGTAATGTAAGTGTTAGGAGTGCAGAACCGTAGCATGAATGTTATATTCTAATTAAATCTCATAGAGGTTTTTGTAACTTGCGCCAATACAAAAAAGGACTAGTCTGTATATTCTGGTATACACATCATTTTTTTCTTATTATACACATTTTTTCTTATTATACACAAATCTCTTTCCTCTTTCAATATTACTGTAAACTATTGACACTCTGGAAAAAATGTCTGAGATCATAGCTAGTGTAATATATGTGTAATATAATAAATGGTTATTATCATCATGAATATTGTGTTGCTGGGTTTGTCATCGTTGTTATTATTAGAATAATAATTGGTCTTATTATTATTATTATTAATGTCATTTTAATTATAATGATTTCCATGATCATATCTATTTTACAAATCTATTCATAATCAGTTGCTCAAAGTCGATGATATAGGGCAGAAATAATCATTATACTATTGTGATGATTTCATTAACAATATTTTGCAATACAACAAAAATACAATAAATACGAGACAGAGGCATGTCCTGAGAAACGTGAACACAAATAAAATGAAAAGGAAAAGTGAAAATGAATAAAACTACAAAGACTAAAATGATGCATAAAATGACACTAAATAACCTTCCAACGAGATAGTGTGCACGCCAGTCCAGGCACCGACTCCGTTTTCTTCTAAAATATATTCTTGTCATACTCCCATTTTCTTTTCAACTTCCAAACTTCGCGTCGTTTGAACAACAATTACTTCCGTAAACCAGCCAGTTGCCGCCCAAAGGATCTCTTCCTCACTGAGCACTTCCTTGCGGTCTCTTAAATGCTCCCATGAAGAGGATGTTTTGGGTCTCGTTGTCCTGGATTAGGAACACGAAGGGGCGGTTGCAGTAGAATCGAACAGGCAGGTCGTCTCGACTGCTCGAAGCGGACTTGAACACGAAGATGGCTGCCGTTACTGCAGCAGCCTCTGTGCCCTCTTCGTTCACCTCCACGAAGGCCTTGTGTATGACCTTGTCGACGGTGATGTTTCGCAGAGGTCCAAAACCTGTCAAGTCCACTTTCCTGCTGTCAAAGATATCCCTGATCCCCAAGTTCTGAAGAGCCTGTTGGAGAAGAGTTTTGCTTCGTTATGGTGGGTAGAATATTTGGGAATCAGATCGTTATCAATTGCAGGAGCTGAACATTTGCTATTGAGGCACCATATGAAAAATGACAAAACGGATTAACTGTATTTGCCAAGCTGACAACAAAATGCCAGATTCTGCATAATCTCGTTTCCGGACTAGTCAGGCTTCATGCAGTGAATCTGACATCACACTAAAGCTCTGATATTATCACTTCTATATAACCCCTAATACTTCTGTTTTACTTATACTTCTATTCTACTACTACTACTACATTACTACTACTACTTCTAGCACGACTACTATTACTCTTTCTACTGCCACTACTTCTACTACCGCTGCTTTTGCTAATGCTACTACTACGAACACTACTATTCAAACTTGTGCTTCTGGAGCATTACTGAATGATACTGAATTAGATATTACAAAGCAAGAAATCCATCTCTCAAGCACATCAAGCCGATTCAACTCACCGGGATCAGACTCTCGGACACGGTTTGCTCAAGCTTGAATTTCGGCAAAAGCAGATCGACATTCTTCTTGACCAAGTTCTTCTCGAGGGTCACGGCTCGCAGGTTGTTTTGGTTCAGCTTTGACACCATGTTAGCGAAGCCCTGAGTCCCTTCCTCCATCGGAAGCAAGAGGACCATGGACATGGCACCGTCGGCGTAGGGCAGTTCCAGGACCCTTGCGGCGATGTGGTCGAACTCGCCTATAAAGGAAGACGTCGTTTAGGGTAAAAGATAAAAAAAAAAATCGCTGTCGGTTTTTCCTGAACATAGGAAACGGAAGGAGGAATTGTGATGGTGAAAATGCTAAAAAGGGGAAAGATGTTTCAATTACCCATGACATGAAAAACAAAAAAGAAGTACAAAGAACAGGTTGTGCTTTGAAATAACTGAATGAATGAAAAATATCAATACACTTATCTAACTGAACATTTTCTCTCATACGAATCTATCCATTTACTAATCCATTAGCACTTCCACAAGACTCTTTACCATATCTAAGGGACGCGGTCTGTTTCATCATAGGGGTCGTGATGGGGACTCCGGGAGTGACGTAGAACTCCCTAGGTCTGGTGGCCTTGGCGCTGAAGAAGTACTGCCACGTGCCCTTGAAGTAGGCGGCGTTAACGAGCACCATCAGGGCGTTTCTCAAGTCGTCTGGAGACACAATCTCGGTGATCCTGCCCTTGGTTGAAGCGGAGGCGAAGTTGTTGACGTGGGCGACCAGGGGAAGGGTCTGTCGGATGGAATTTCGAGGTTGGTTGGCCATATTTTGGTTTGTTCTCTATCTTACTTTTTATCATTGAATGTTGATGGAGGCGGTTGTGGTCACGGGGAAGGGACTTAAAGAAGTAAACAAGTACCCACACAACTGGCTGATAATCCAGCTGATCTCATGAAGGTGAAAGTCTACAAACGGACTAAAAGGAGAGCGGGCTATATCTGTCAGTTACAAGAAGTACTTTAAAGTCGCAGCTTGACAATGTCTTATTCTGTCATATAACACCAATAAGTGAGGAATGACCTTCAATTTCACACACAAAAATAATAATAATAAATAAATAATAAATCAATCCATAGACACCTTCATGCTGATGTCGTATCGTTGGTGTTGCTTGATTTGTGAAGGAAGACATGCAACTGCTACCGATACTTAACATAGAAGTTATGCACAGAAATCGGTTTGGCTCAAAGAAAATCTATTTCTTTTTTAAACAGCAAGGGAATTTCCCGTGACCAAGAGGTACTTTTCCACAACCAAGCCACAAAATATTCACGTAAAGAACGAAAAATATCACCAGCGTTTGAGTAGAAGCGCTCCAAAGGTGAATTATTTAGAAATTGGTGAAGACTGAACAGGAAAGTGATATTTTCTCCAAGCCATGTAGATTCTGTTCACGTGTGCGTTATTAACTTTTAATTATTATCATTATTATTATTATTTTTACACATTCCTGTAAAAGG